TTTCCGACTCCATGTACCTATGTATATATGCTCAGAAATCATGTCAGTACATATATAATTTAATTACGTATGTAAAATAGAATATAGATTCTAAAATTACCTCTGAGATAATTCTAGTACTCTTTGTTCATGTATGTTCACGTAGATTTTGGTCGCCGTGCTTGATGATACAGAATTATTGCCTGAAATTTTATGTGCAAAGTTATGCGTAAAGTATCCTCTTAACTTATGTATTGATGAAATTAATTATTTATGACATGTATAATTATTCATCTTACCTCTAAAATTAGTAACAAAGATTCCATTGACCACCATAACCATGTTGCTTGGATCTTGATCTATCAGTGTGCTCTCTATATTTGTAGCAATTTGGTTCCATAAAGTAACAGTGCATTCTATGTTTCTGATTTGTATAAAAGATACTAAGTTTTAGGGTCAAGCATAAGTAAATATAATTAACAGTTGGATTAGGTGATGTATAAGATAACTCTCACTCTTCATCGATTAGTTTTAAGGCTCTCCTAGTCCCTCGCTTTCCAGAAATGATAGTTTGCTCCAAGGGGTATATATCTTTTACAAACCCAATTATATCTGTATTGAAATTAAAATATGCAAACATAAGAGACATAAGTTATATTAGGTTTGTTGCATAATCTGTATTGAACTATATCATGATACAAAAATTATAATAAATGCTTACCTGCAAAATAAGTCTTGTTTCCTTTCATTCTATAAAGCTCACTGAATGGTTTATAGTTGAACTTGTACCTAGGGATATTATCATTGTCTTCTTGTAGTACTTGAACTTGTGTCATACAGCAAAAACATATTGAGAATTTATTCTCAGTTGCTCTATAATTTCCAAAGGAATTCATAACTCTGAACTTAGAGATTACATGTATCCTTCCTTCATCTATCATTGGTTGAAACATTAACATTTCAGTTGTTTTAATGCTACCGTTAATGTGTGTATCCTGTAAAAATTCAAAATAATCGTATCATTTCAAAAATATATAGATCTTGATATAGTACGTAGATATTGATATTTTATAAATATAAGAGATCCTTTTGTATAAAAAGTTTCAGAAGGAATGTAAATCTGTCTTACACTTTCATCCAAAAGAGTAAGTAGCAGTCCATAATTTTGAAGTGATATGACATTTATATTTTCCCATATGCTTGTCACTCGAGCTTTAATGACTGGTT